TAAGGCCACAGAACTGACAGTTATTAAACACCAAGTCTACTTTGGCTATTTCCATACAACGTGCAAGCTCCAATAACTGAAAACTAGCCCTTTCAGCAGTCTTGCAGAGCAGAAGCAAGGTTTAGATCTAGCCAGGGATGCAGCTCTTTCTCAGAACACCTTGACTGGATCCAGGCCCCTTTTAGTTCATGCTAACGCTCATTCAATGCCAGTTCTAAGAGATACACAGCTGCTAATGTGTTTTAGGTGACAGCAAGCCTCCACAACTGATCAGCACCACTGCTACTGGCCAGGAAAACTGTGGCAGTCCCAGGCCTAAGGCAGATTAGCCCCAAACACACCCTGTACTGCTGACCTACTCCATACAGGGCTTTAAAAACTGTCTGCCCAGCTTGCAGCGTGGCTTGCTCAAGCTAGCAGAGCTGGGGGTACCAGTGTAGCTGTGGTAAGGAAGGTAGGGAACCCCAATTCCCATACTGTTCCCACAATTCGGATGTCCCCATCAGTAGCAGTCCTACTCCAAACCCACGCTCCTCCGCTGAACGCTGTCATCTTCAGACAGCAATGCTCTTTGACACAAATGTGGAGACATTCAGCAGCCACCTTGGCGTTTGGTTTAATTGTGACCCCAAGACAGATTTCATTACATTTCAACTCAAGAATTATGAAGTGCTCTGTCATCAACCTGGGGCAGTCAACTGATTATAAAGACAGTATTTAATCTTCTTAATTCCCTGGAGACTTAAATGAAGGCACTTCACCACCATAGTCCCTTCATTCTTCAGTCTAATTGAGGGTTCATTACCGACTTGCTACTGGGTCATTGTTTTTGAGTCACAGGTACACGACAGTTAAGGACCTAAGGGTACCTCAGCATGACCTTTCATTTATACGAGGCAGCATTCACCCACTTATATTTCTTAGCTATACAGATAATGATCTCTAGCTTTAGCAACAAATAAGATTTGAATATTGATTCACTTCCCTGCTATCACCCAATTCAGATAAAATCAATTTGCTAACAAGTGATAATCATCTTCATTTAATAATGCACTCTGAAGATACACTTTAATGAATGCATTTTAGCTTCCTACGGAGGAAGAATATTCTTTTAATGGAAGTGGCCACTGAGGTGCACTAATTGCCTTCAAGTACGAGGAGCTGTATTACAGAAGTTTCATTTCTGCGGTTTCCCTTGAGGACACCAAGAGCCTGATACAACACAGTAAAAGTACTTGCTAGATCACAGAATGGCCAAGGTTGGAAGGGACCTCTGGAGATCCTCTAGTCCAACCTCCCTGCTCAAGCAGGGACCTCTAGAGCACATTGCCCAGGATCACATCCAGGCCAGTTTTGAATATCTCCAGTGAAGGAGACTCCACCACCTCTCTAGGCAACCTGTTCCAATGCTCTGTCACCCTCACAGTCAAGAAGTTTTTTCTCAGGTTTAGGTGGAACTTCCTGTGGTTCAGTTTCTGCCTATTGCCTCTTGTCCTGTCGCTGGGCACCACGGAGAAGAGACTGGCCTCATCCTCCCCTTTCAGATACTTGCACACGTTGATCAGATCGCCTCTCAGCCTTCTCTTCTCCAGACTGAACAGGCCCAGCTCTTGCAGCCTTTCTTCATAGCAGAGATGCTCCAGTCCCCTCATCATCTTGGTAGCCCTCCGCTGGATTCTCTCTCCAGTAGTGCCATGTCTCTCTTGTACTGGGGAGCCCAGCACTGGACACAGTACTCCAGGTGAGGCCTCCCCAGGGCTGAGGAGAGGGGCAGGATCACCTCCCTCCACCTGCTGGCAACACTCCGCCTAATGCACCCCAGGATACAGGATGCACCCCAGGATGGCAGCAGTCTTCTGGTGTGTCAGCCACTCCCCCCAGCTTTGCATCATCAGCAAACTTGCTGAGGCTGCACTCTGTCCCTTCCTCCAGGGCATTGATGACTACATTGAACAAGGCTGGACCCAGGACTGACCCCTGGGGGACTCCACTAGCTACAGGCCTCCAACTTGACTCTGCGCCATTCACCACAACCCTCTGAGCTCGGCCATCCAGCCAGCTCTCAATCCACCTCACTGTCCACTCATCTAACCCATGCTTCCTGAGCTTGCCTACGAGGATGTGATGGGAGACAGCATCCAAAGACTTGCTGAAGTCCAGGGAGACAACACCCACTGCTCACCCCTCATCTACCCAGCTAGTCATTCCATCAGAGAAGGCTCTCAGATCAGTCAAATAACGCAGCTCAGTTAGGGAGAGAGTTGACTTGCACTATGGTCAGTGATTTGGCTTAGCTTTCCACACCACTTAAACTCTTGAATAATCTAGCAAGCATGCCAGCGTATTAAGATCTACCAAAATTCAATAGGATTTATAATCAATGTGGTATATAAAGTTACTTTAAGGATTGAAGAAGTCAGTGATGCAGTTTTAAAGTTTGTAACAGAATGGAAGGCAGTGTTTTTCCCTTCGTTTCCAGTCTGTCATTTTATATGTTTTCAGGCACTGTTTTTATACAGTAATATTGGGAACGCAAACATTTGAGCACTGCTTAGTGGTTTGAAGACTATTTTCAGCATTTACATTTACCTATAATGCAGTAAAACCACATTTAACAATGTTTTGACCAAACTTGACTTGACAGTCCTTCTAATAGGTTCTTCCAACCCAGTTCCCCATTTCAAAAGAACTTTCATTTACAAACTCCTTGCAATCCCCCTAAACATATTTTGAAGTTATGGTCAATGCTCGCTGCCTAGAATTTATCATTAAAGTCAAGGGAGAAGACACTGTCCTTTATTTCAGCATATGTTCAACACCACTTCTAGTTTAAGAATTTTCCCCAACAGATACCAACTGGCTCTAAGAAAACTAAGGTATCAGAACAGTATATAGTTCTTGTATCACATCATACCTCTAGGACACACGTTGGTCTTCCCCAGCTCCATAATATGGAGTTTTCCTTCACTTCCAGAGCAGAAAGGCAATAAAAACATTAGCATTAATAATTTCAATAAAAACTAGTTAGCAAGCAGTCCCAGGACAAATCAGATAGCCAAGTCAAAGAAAGTCAGCTGGAACTCGTTAGTACAGCAGAACTGACCCTGAGAAATAAGGCATGCAGCTTTTTTGTTTAATAATACAATTCAGTGAAGGCAAGAGAACAAGAAACATAGATAAGCATTAATAAATTCTGCTGACAGAAGTATATCACCTAATGGTCTACTCATACCAAATGGTCTGTTATAGCCAGGAGAAACTGAAGACCCTTAAGACAAAGTCCTTGCTGTTGAAGTAGGTTACAGTAACCACACAAGGAGGCATAGACTGTAAACGTTGGTAATAAGGCCAAGAAAGCTCCAAAAAGGCCTTCTACACCCTGCTTTGACCATGTTTGCAACTGAAGCCTCTCCCTGAAGCAGTAAACTGCTAAGGCAAAGACAGTTAAAGAAAATTTATACCAAGCACCCTCCATTAAGCAGGCCGTTCAAATACACCACTAGCCTTCATGCATTAGGATGGATCCACTTGGCAGGATGAAGAAGTTTCTGCTCAGGTAAAAATTGAAAGTTGTAAAGCTTCCTTTCCCAGTGTTTGACACCTCCCCAAGCTTCTGCAACTGTATTTCATTGTTTTGCTCCATGTTTCGATAGACAGACATTTAAAGTAATACTTAAAACCCAAAATAAAATGCTTTATTTTCCCCAGGTAAATCATTTTTCCTTTCTTTTAAAAAGGCCTTTTAACACTCATTTCCAGATCAAATGAAAAGACACAATCGCCATGTAAACCAACATCCCTTAGCATACTTTTGCAAATACATACATCCTTCAAAACAAAAGCATACATTGATTAGTTATAAAACAAACCTAAGCAGAAGTGTCTGCAGCTATCAGCTAATTCTTATAACAAATTTATCTTAACATGTGGAATCAGTTTTGGAATTACAAGGAGTCACATACAAGAGCTTAATGGCAATCCAAATTATTGCCTTAAGAGTAACCAGTGAACAGCCATGGGCTGAAAATGCATTTCTGGAATAAACAGGTAGCAGCATGTGATCTTTGTGTCACCTGAAATAAACGAACAAAGAATTGGGGCTAAGGATATCAGTATGTCACTTCCAGAAGTAGCTGCAAGAATGAGACTGAGAAACCATCACCAGACAGGCAAAAAAAAAATGCGATTTCCCTGTCTTCACTCAATAATGTGCTTAAAAAAAAAAAACCTAAGCAGAAGTGTCTGCAGCTATCAGCTAATTCTTATAACAAATTTATCTTAACATGTGGAATCAGTTTTGGAATTACAAGGAGTCACATACAAGAGCTTAATGGCAATCCAAATTATTGCCTTAAGAGTAACCAGTGAACAGCCATGGGCTGAAAATGCATTTCTGGAATAAACAGGTAGCAGCATGTGATCTTTGTGTCACCTGAAATAAACGAACAAAGAATTGGGGCTAAGGATATCAGTATGTCACTTCCAGAAGTAGCTGCAAGAATGAGACTGAGAAACCATCACCAGACAGGCAAAAAAAAAATGCGATTTCCCTGTCTTCACTCAATAATGTGCTTAAAAAAAAGCACAAGCAGAAACTTGGAAGGCTCTTGTTCAAAGTGAGAAATAGGGACAACTAGTACTGATAAACAAAACAATTTAGTTCCACCAAAAAAGCCAGGACAAATTGCACAGGATTTCTCCCTCTTCCCCCTTAAAAATTAATGTTCTGCAAGACATCTATAAAACAAACAGTAAGATGTCAAAAGACAGATTTCAGGAATGGTAGCAGGAAATTACAAGGATCAGAGGCTACAGCTTACTGGTCCACCTTTGCTTCCAGTTGAATCAAGTATTCAATAGTATTCCACATCCTAATTTACCCAGCTAAGCTGCCAGAAATCAGGGGTTTTAATTCCTTTTTCCAGCTGTCCAATATTAAGCCCTTCCCTTAAATCCCAAGCTGTTTTTGTAATAGACAATAATTCTGCTAAATATATGGGGTTTTTTTGTTTTTTTTTTTTACAATCAGTAATTTGTTAGAAACAACTTAAATTAATACGAAGAGACACAAATTAGTACCATTTTACAGGCTACTGGATTTCATACTATAAATCTCATTATGCCTTGTAGAAATTAAATTGGAAAACTAGCGGCAAGCACACATACAAGCTGTACACATCCAAATGCACCTAAACACAATATAAAATTAGTAAAGATAAGTGGCACATCTCTAAACTTTAATGTACTCAACGAAAAATATACATATATGTATATCACTATTTACACTTAGTGGAGAACCCAATTTATCTAACCTTCATGTGACTACTTACTCCAAAATATCATGCTGGCTTAGAACAAAACATCCAAAAAGCTTCAGAAAAAACAATGGAGCTCCTAGCTATCAGAGGGTCTAGATACCAATTCTTCATTGTGCAGTGACCATGCTGGTCTGTGTTTCCAAACTGAATTTACCTCAAGTTTGCATATTTCTTGATCACATCACAACCAACTCATTCTTTTCCCCACATGAAACTTGAAGATCCTAAATATGAAAGCCAGTAGCTACTACATCTTCAAACTGGTAAAACAGAGCAAGTTAAAAGCAACCAGGATACAGAAACATTTAATCAGGTCTCATCCCAAATCAAGTAAAAATTGGTCAAAGAAACTGCCAGCATCAAAAGCTGATGTCATCAGAGCCTCTCCAAAAAAAGTTAATGCACGCTTCCCTTGCATTCTTACATATACCAAAAGTAATAACAGAAATTAAGTGTTTTTCCTTGAAGACATCTTTGGTCTAGAGATAGCTATGACAATGCAGCATTTTCACAATTAAAAGGACAAGTATCATTCCTAACTTTGGAACTCCTGCCACGGAAAACTAAAAAGGACAAAAAAAAAGGGAAGGACTTGGTTTGGCTAGGTTAACAGAAGGGGCAGCTGCTGTCAAAGGATATTTCCTGTCATCTCCCAACATGCGGCAAGGAACAAAAAAGACAAAGCAAACTGGACATCAGGGTCCCCACCACAGTAATTCCCTTCATTTTAGGGATCTAGTTTTTCATAGCAGAGTGCACACAGATCTTTTTTGGTACTTTCTAACAGAGAGATTACATTTCTCCCCTGGCTGAGAGACTATGACAGTCCAGCATATCCTGGAACACATAGTCTTAACTCTGCCGGAAGTTTTGTTGCCATTTAAAATGTTTCCTCCTAAAAATTTAGGAAAAGAGGAAGACTGCCCAATGATATTGGGAACAATGGGATAGGAAGGAAATTCAAGGAAATCTGCATTGTCAGATGTACAGAGCAGACAGGAAAATTTGAAAAAATAAATGCATTTTCTCTCATAGACTGTCAGTCACCTCAAAATTTTACTTTACCTATATAAACAATAGTTAAAAAAAACAAATCAGACTAACATTAGTGAGGAAAAAAGTTACTTAGGTTTATCTACTGGATGAGATCCTTCTCTAGCCTCATGACCTCCACAACAGATGTTCACAATGTAAGCATCTCTACACACTTGAAATATATCATTACCTCTGCTTTAAGTCTTACAATGCTTCAGCTCAGCAGGAGTTTCAGAAACATTAATCATCTCTGAAACAGCGGCAATGAGGTGGGGGTGCCTGGAGTGGACAATACCTTTATCATGCTTTCTGTCTCAGAAAAAGAAGGCTTTTACAGGTGGTCTTTGATACTGTCCTGTCATCCATTCTTCCTCTAAAATCTCTTTCCCCTTCCTGTTTTAGTGATCATTGCTACTTTTATTCCTCAGAGAAATTTATCTGTGGCCCCGCTTGCACTCTTGAGTTAGGAGGTTCAGAAATGATGTACAGAAGAAGCTATGACAGCCCTGTATCACAATCTGTAGCCTCCCTCTTCCTGATCAGGAGGAAACATGACTCAGCTCCCTGCAAAAAAGTAAGTTCATTTAAATAAATTAAAGTGGACAATGACCAATCCCAGAAGCTTTTGTTAGGCAGATTTCTCTGCTTCTATTTACAAGCAACTGTAAAAAGCAAGATCTTTAGAAAATGTTATGAATTAGTCAGATTTGAGCCACAAACTCGCTCACCTATCAAATCCTTAAATAAAAAAATGAACTCTTAAATGCATTAAATTCTGCCCCGATCAACGTGGCAAGAAAGCCTATTAAATGTGCAGCACCTCCAGACAAAACAGTTTTTCAGCAGTGCTTTCAGTCCTTCCTAGTGATCAATTACCCTTCAACCTCCTACATCATATAATTAGGAGTGCTTCCAGAAGGTGACTGGTAATTAATCAGGGGACTGTATTTTCCTTTTTACTAACTGCACTCTTTCAGCCTTTTTCTGAGAGATCTTGCGGATGTGGATCCATCAACAGTAAAGCCATTTCTCCTTTAAACGCCATTTCTCCCTCTGAGCAGGTTTTCCCATGTAAACTATAAACGTAAAACTAAATGTTAATACACACAAGTTATATCTCAAAATTAAGGTCTTAAACAAGCAATATGAAAAATAAAACTGATTCCCTTAAAGGAACACTATCAGTTACCAATTTCCCCATTTTTATCCCAAAGGGGAACCAAATTAAAAGTTAACCATAATTTTCTAAAGAAAGTAGCATGCATTTTTCCAGCTTAATGCTCCTTCAGTGCATTTGCACATCCTCATTAATAGCCATTACCATTAAACAGGGGCGAGTCTGACTTTCACTCAGGTGTCTCAAGACAATTTAAGAAAGATCCCATAAACCATTTAAAAATAAAGTTATAATGACCCATTCATTCATTTGGGGGAAGGGATGGACAAGGCCACAAAATGACCTGTCAAAAATACAGCATACACAAAATTAAAACCTGCTTGCTCACAGGACATTTTTCCCAGTACGCCTTGCATCAGACTTGCATACTGCCAAGCGTTCTGGCCCAAACACCACATTCTGGCTTCCACAAATCCTGGTAGCTCAAAACAGCATCCCAACACTACGAATGCCACGCCAAGGTTTTACAATGACATCACAGCCACACAGCAGCGTTTCTCACAACTTCTACCTGCCTATGAAACAAGCTCTAAGAGCAGGAACTTGCTCAATTCTAAAACTTTAGAATGAAATATCGCTAGTCATTTGCTGCTGCTCAGCTTGCACAACCAAGTGGAGTTGTCTCTTTGCAATGACTGTGTTCAAATCCCACAAGAACTCCAACAGCTTCCCCTGGAGGAGAACCTCCATTGGCACAAACTGCAAAACCTGCTGCGGAGAGTCTGAGTCTAGCAAAGAGCTCATTAGTTTATTCAGCTGGTGCAGATATTCAGCAACTGGATTTGGTAGACCCTGGTAACTAATGCAGAGCAAAACAGCACAGGTCTTCAGTGGTTCATGGGAAGTCGGACAAGCAAACGTGATGCATCTGAAACAGTGATGCAGTATAAAGATGAGGCCAGCTGTGAAGCGTGTAAAGCAAGAAAGAATAGGCAGAATCAATGCATCTCCTATTTCAAGTTCATTCAACAAATGCAGAACACACTCCAAAAGCTGCTGCTGGTATTTTGGTTCTCCATCATAAAACAAAGAGAAGCTAAATGTCAGCAGCGTGGCTGAGTCTAGGAGCTTCATTTCCATGTTGGGTTGGCTTTCGATATCACAAAGGGATGGAAAGTCCACCACAAGGCACTTGAATTGGTCAGTACAACTTGCATTCAGGACCTCCTGGTGACACCTGGTAAGACTAGACAGTTCCGCCAGTATCACTTCCCCAGGAAGAACCTCACAAGAGGGACAAGGCTGCAGCATTTGTCTGCTTTTCAGCCTGCCCACTACCAATCCTTTCATAGCTTCATTAAGGCTTTCTAACACTTGACCATCACAAAATGGAGAACACTTTACCATTGGTAGCCTCTTTCCTTCCAAAATATACCACAAGCTACATTCAAGGTTAGAAGATGATCCTTCCAAAATGCACATTTTACCGGCATTATTTAAGCTGTGCTCTTCAGCCCAGTGATTAAAATAGCCCTTTGCCATTTTATCATTCCATGTTAGGGTTTCTAGCATCTTCCTTTCATTGTACGTACTAAAATACTTGTTCCTTTGCCCAAACCATTTTGCATTCATGCTGCAACCAGCCTGAGATTTCTTCACCAGCCAGTTATTTCTGGCAATAGGTTTCATGCAATATCTTTGCATAAAGAACTCCACCGCACAATCTCTTAAGCTGTTCAGTTTTGTCTGCTCTGCTTCTTCCATACACTTAAAGAGCTGGATGTTCTCAGAGATGGTCTCTACTTGGCACTTGTGGAAGAATGTGCAACATTCTTCGTGTATTTTCAGAAAAGATTCTGGTATCATATGCTGGGGAAAAAGTGCTTGGTTGACCATCTCTGATCCAAAGTTCTGTATCATCTTAGAAAGCAGCAGGTGAATGCTCTCTCTGCCCAAATAACGAAGACAAATCACATAGGCCTCTGAGTTACCAGCTTTGCTAGTGGCTGGCTTAAAGACATGGACCTCCTCAAAAGAACAGTTTAGCAGAAAGAGCAGATTGGTAGAACAGTGTTCAAACAACGTGAACATCTTCAAAACAAAGGATCCTCCAGCGCTCAGGATCATTAAAGCAGTGACTGTTTCACAGTAGAGCAGGGGTGAAACAAGAGCTTCCTGTTCACCTGGGTTTCCCTGGCAGTCAAAACTACCATCAGCAGTTACCAAGTGAATTGTGGTCATATTATTTATGAAGTGCTGAAGTCCTGTTAGATGTTTCAATGTCATCACATCACCAGTGTTATCTGGGCCAAAGTACCACCATGGCAAGGTATTTGCAATAAGACGGTCATCCATAATCATCACAAGGGTGTCATTCGCTTCATGGTATGGGTTTAGAGTATTAGCTACCCAATTCCAGTCACAAGGGATGTGGTGGGATTTCAGATAGTGATTCAGACTGGCTATAAAAGCTCCAGGTGCTTCACAGAGGTGGACAGAATTCAGTTCTCCGTCCTGAAGAGCTTCTTCAGGGAGAAGAGGAAAGCTGCACAGGATCTCATGAAACTTGCACCAAGCCTGGGTACACAGCTCAGCATTCAGAGATTTCTTCACATGAGGAATTATTTTCCCTGCTTTATTGGTAAATGAGGTGTGCTGATGCCATTCATCCAGGTTCTTATCACTCAGCTGATTCTTGACTTCATTCATTGAGTCCTTCAGAGCAAGGAGTGAGTTGAATTCCTTGTGATCACAGGTAAAAGCATCACTGGGATCTGGTAGTTGCCATTCATTATTCACAGGCTTAATGTAAGCAAACTTCTTTGCAAAAAGCTTCTCAATTTCAGCAAGTATATCAGGACTGAACTTCTCAAGTTTTGCAGTCTGGTCAACATAAGGCTTCTTACATTTGTTCATTCTTGGATTGATTCACCACCTGGAAGACAGCAGGAGAAAAGAAAGATTGTTGTTACAATTCTTATATATATATATAATAGGCAAAGTGAGAGTGTGAGTGTATCATGTATTAATGTGAACAGTAAAATAGATCACCGTTATCTTGAAAAAGGCTATTTGGAAATCAGGAGGTTCAGAGGTCCACAGTTACCCTTTATGCAACTTTCATAGAGAAAGGAAGGCTGACTTAGCTGAACTCTGAATATTCCACTTACAACATAGATCCAAACACTGATTCAGTATCTCCTCGAGCCACAAAAAAGAGTATGTCTCAACCTACAGAGGTTAAACAAGTGGGCCACAAACCTTTTCAAGGGATTATGACAATATTAACTCAAGATAGTGAAGTACAAGGAGTATGGGGAACAAGCAAAGGCAGCTTTTGAGTACAGCTGCTCCCTCTATTTCCTCCTAACTCACAACGGCTAATATTCATTCCCCTTCCACCAAACTGAGTGGGACATTAGGAAAGCTCCCTCATTACCCACCTCTGACTACAGCCACTTAGTTGATGATTCCTCGGTGAGAGGTTTAACACACACAAAACTCATATTCTGCGCTCAGCTTCATGAGCGCACACAGTTTTGGCTAGGCCACTTCAAAGCCTTATGCCTAGTTTTCCCTCCTGGAAAAGCAGAAGGGAATCCGAAATGAGAAAATAAGGTTTTCTTGGCTATTTATGGTCAATTCTAACTCGTACTTGATGTTAACAGAGTCGTGGAAAGCACTGCGCTCTAAATGGATAACGCCAGGCTAACATAAGCACGTTCTGCACAAAGCTAACAAGGCTGCTGCCATCTGCTCCATTAGCACAGAGCATGCGAGGGAGAATTTCAGTTCACTAGTGAGACAGTCAAACTTAGATTTTCAAAACTCAGATTTTCATTTAAGCAACATTATTTAAGGTGACCACAGGAGACGGGAAATTCCTTCACATACCATTTTAACCTTCTCAAAGACATCATTACCTCAGAAGAAAATGCAACTGCTTACCCCCTGAAGGGAAGCATATGGTTAAGCACACACGGGTGATAGTTCAGGCTAGACCTGCAGAACTTCACCCCTCCTTTTCCCGGGGCAATCGCCTTTTGACGGAGGCAGAAATCAGCTAGTTTCACTTTCCCTTAGGAGGCCTTTTTTGGCCTTGCACGCTGTCCTTCCACTCAACACGTCAAGAGTGGGGGGAAACTGAAGTTTTCCAGCCCTTCTCAGTACAGGCAAACACTGTGCCCCAAACTACCTTTGGGAACACCAGCTATAAGCATGGTCTTTTATTAAGGCTCGGGCCAGCAAGCCCCTAAACTGGCCGCCCAAAGCATGCGAGGGAGCAGGCAGCCGGCTAGCTCACCAGCAGCAGCCGCCTCCTTTCTCCCACAGCCCGCGCGCTGCTCTCCGGCAGGGCCCCGAG